TATGAAAGAGGACATGAGGAAATGGAAACACATTCCCTGCTCATGGACTGGGAGAATTAACATTTTCAAAATGGCAATACTCCAAAAAGCATTATACAGATTCAATGTGATCACTATAAGAATATCCATGACATTTTTCAAAGAAATTAATCAAACATTCCTGAAATTCATATGTAACAACAAGCCTCCATGAATAGCTAAAGCAATTCACGGGGGGAAAAAGATAGGAGTCATTACCTTCCCCAACTTCAAACTGTACTACAAAGTGATAATAATTAAAACAGCATGGTATTGGAATAAAGACATATGCAGATCAATGGAACAGGGTTGAATATCCTTACACACACTCTCAAATAAATGATCATTTAATGTTTGATAAGGGAGCAAGAGATATGAAGTGGAGCAAAGAAATCCACTTTAACAAGTGGTGCTGGTAAAAATGGACAGCTACATGCCAAAAACAAAACAAAACAAAGCAAAAATATGTGCTCAGATCTCTACCTAACACCATGCACAAAAATCAGATCAAAATATATTAAAGACCTCATCATCAGACCAGAATCCATAAGATACATTGAAGAAAAGATTAGGGAAAACCCTCCATGATATTGAAGTTAAAGGTATCTTCAAAGATGAAATGCCACTGACCAAGCAAGTGGACACAAAGATAAACAAATGAGATGATCTTAAATTAAGAAGCTTCTGCACCTCAAAAGAAACAGTGACCAGGATACAAAGACAGCCTACTGAATGGGAAAGGGTATTCACCCATGCCCTTCTGATAAAGGGTTAATATCAAAGATATACAAGGCACTGGTTGAACTCTACAAGAAAAAAATCCAATCCCATAAGAAAATGGGATTTTGAATATGAAATGGAAATATCGAATGCACAGAAACTTTCTCAAAGAAGAAATTCAGGTAGCCAAAAGGGACATGAAAAATACTTTTCATCACTAATCATCAGAGAGACGGTGTGAAATATCAAATCACACCACAGAGATTGGCACACATCCAAAAGACCAAAAGCAATCAGTGTTGGTGTAGATATGGGGAGAAAGGGACTTTCATTCATTGTTTGTGGGAATGCTGATTGGTCCAGCCTTTTGGGAAAACAATATGGACGTTTCTCAAAAAATTAGAAATTGAACTCCCATTTGACTCAGCAGAACCACTTCTGGGAATAAATCCTGGCATCCCAAAACACACAGCAGTAATACCATCTGCATTCCTATGTTTATTGCAGCACTATTTACCATAGCCAGAATCTGGAAACAAACTGAGTACCCAAGAACAGATGAATGGATAAAGAAACTATGGCACATCTACACAATGAAATACAATGACATTTTAGGAAAAATGAAGTCATGAAATTTGCCTATAAATGGATGGACATGGAAAGTATCATGCTAAATGAAATGAGTCAGGAGAAGGACTGATAGAGAATGACTGCTTTCATTTGTGGTATATAAATATATATATAGTATAAGGCTAATATGTGTGGCCAGGGAAAACAGGGTTTAGGAGAACTAGTTAATGGTTGGAACTAACCACAAGTGTGTGTGTGGAGGGGGCAGGGGAGGGCTGAAATTAGGAAGATACAGAAGAGACCGGTATGAAAACAATAACTGGGAATGATCATGCTGGACAAGATCTGAGGCTTAAAAGTAGGTAAGGGATATTCTTGATAATCTTTCAGTACCAATATTGCAAACCACAATGCCCAAAAGGAGAGAGAGACATACAGAAACAGAGATAGAGACAGAGACAGAAAGACAGAGAGAGAGCGAGAGCAAGAGCGAGAGAGAGAGAGAGAGAGAGAGAGAGAGAGAGAGAGAGAGAGAGAGAAGAAAAGCACCTGCCATAGAGGCAGGCAGGGGGTGGGAGGTGGGAGTGATGGGAGGCAACCTGGGGACACTGGTCTGGGGAACGTACACTGGTGGGGGGATGGGTGTTGGGATATTGTATGACAGAAACCCAATCATAAACAGTTCTATAAGGGTCTATCTCACAGTGATTCAACAAATGGGTGAAAAGAAAAAGAACTGTGGAACTTTATCACTGATGAGGAAAGAAGTTGGGTTTGGGGCCAATGGTGGGGGTTTGGGCTCGGGGCTATTCCTGGCTGTGCTTAGGAATAACCCAGGTGGTGACTTTATGAAGCGCCAGGGAGCAAATCAAGATTGGCAGGAATCAGTTCTGGTGGCACTTGGGGACCATATGGGATGCCGGGACCCGAACCCCGGCTGGTCATGTGCAAGGCAAGCACCCTACCTGCTGTGCTACTGCTCTGCCGCCACATTTAGATCTTTGACCTCAATGTCCTAATTCTGAAATTGGGGTAGCTAGGACTCTCTGAAAAGCTGACTACAGAATAAAGACAAGTGCAATCAAGTACGCATCCATGGTATTACTTCATGGTGCTTCTCAACATGCTTACAGGGTCTACCCTCCATCGGAACCCTGCAAAGAAGCTGCACAAAGCCACACTGAGGCAGGCCATGACCTCACCAGACAACAGTGGGGACGTTACTATTGGAATGCGCACGCATGCGCGCGCGCGCGCGCGTGTGTGTGTGTGTGTGTGTGTGTGTGTGTGTATAAAAGCTGGAGTGATAGCACAGGAGGGAGGGCATTTGCCTTGCATGTGGCCACCCCAGGTTTGATTCCTCTCTCCCTCTCTGAGAGCCCGGAAAGCTTCTGAGAGTATCCCACCTGCACAGCAGAGCCTGGCAAGCTCCTTGTGGCATATTCGATATGCCAGACACAGTAACAACAAGTTTCACAATGGGGACATTACCGGTGCCCACTCGAGCAAATCGATGAACAACAGGAGGACAGTGACAATGACAGTTCCTCTGGGATTGCTGGCCACTGGCTAGTGCTTCCTGAGTTTGCTCCCCCTCATCCAATACCTGGGGCTCAGCATCAGGATCACTGATGTGGGAGGGGCCCAGTATTTGCTCTGGGTCTCATAAAAACTCTTCAAACTGCATGTTACTTTAACCCTTCCCTGCTCTTGCAGTTCCGATTCCTCTGGGAACAGACCCATGTGCTTTCCAGCACATGCCACGTCACGGACTCACAGGGGTTCTCTCTGAAACATATCCAGATGCCTCAGTGCCAGAGAGCCAGTCTGAGTAATCCCTGGGTCTCAGGGTAACTGCCCTCTGCAGCTGCCTCACCCCTGCCCATGGAGAGGGAGTCCCAGCTCCGCCCCCCATCCCGGAACCACTGCTCGAGCTTCTCTGGGCCCTCTGTGGTGCTGGGCTCGAACTGCTCTGCCTTCTGACTCTGAAAGTGGAAGAAAAGCCACGTGGGTGGGTGGGAAGGATGAGTCCCCCCACCGCGCCAGCCAGTTTGGTTTTCTAACACTGGGTTCTCTTTAAGTGGGTCATCCCCAGACAAGAGAAGAATTATTTCAAGGAAACTAGAGTGACAGCTGCAAAATTCTGGAGAACTTGTGCTTGGATGAGACTCCCCAGTAGCTGGGTGATTCCGCTTCCGGAACTTTCATATATTTGAGGACCAAGCCGAGGAATGTCCCTGAGTAATCAATGCAGAGAGCTATGTGTCCAGACCCACTGGCTAAGGGCAGAAGCAGAATCTGTCCTTGCAGAACCATCACCGACCACAGGAAACCCACTTGACTCTAGCATCCCCAATTGGCCTGTGCTCCATCAGGGTTCCTAGGGGTGGAAGGCACTCCGCTGGTGGCACGGCTCCGTACTGATGCCCCCACCCCCCACCCTTCAAGGCACACAGTGTCACCCACAGAGCCCCAGGTATCCACAGGCTGCACCCATAACCCACAAACAAGATTAAATGACTAAATGACGTTTACTAGCCTTCCCACCCCCGATTTCCCAGTAGCACGTTTTCCTTCGTACCCCTCACTTCAGGGTCTTCAAAATAATTGGAGAGTTAGTGAGGAGTAAAACATAAAGAATCCACCTTAGCAGTGCCCAGCGATGGGCGGGCAGACGACTACCAAGCAGCCCCCCCCCCCCCCCCCCCCCGCCGCGGGGCTTCCTCGCTGCCCAGGGAGGGCCACGGCTTCCTTTTAACCCGTGCGCGGACCTGTGTGCGAGGGTAGACGGGAGGAGCATCCCAGGCAGCACACATCTGCTGGGAAAACAATCCCATAGACAGGAAACTGCTATTGCAAAGGAGCCTTGGTCCGAGCTACAGCAGCAAATACACCGAAGCTGGCGCACCCTCGGCCAGCGCTCGACTCTGATGTTGTGCTGCGCAGGAGCTGCTGCTCAGGAAAGAGGGACATGCCAGGGACCAGGCAGAGGAGGAGGGGAGCGCACGGCGCGCCCACCTCAAACACTGTTTCCGGACTGACAGGTGCCCTGCCAGGGGGGTCCCGGCAGGCACTAGTGAAACTGGTCAAAAGTGAGTTGGAAGGAGGAGCAGGGACAAGAGGGTGGGCGGAATCAGAAAAACAACAACAACAAAATGTACACGGAGAGGGGAAGCCGAGGAAGAGGGGCGGCCGGAGATGCAAAGAGAGGAGTGGAGACAGGGAAGTGGAGCGGCGGGAGGGCAGTCCGCGGGGCGCCCTTATCAGCGGGATGCAGTTCCGCGGGAGACAGGGGAAGGGAGCGGCGGGAGGGCAGTCCGCGGGGCGCCCTTACCGGCGGGAGGGCAGTTCCGCGGGAGCCTTAGCGGCGTGGACAGGGAGGGGAGCGGCGGGATGCAGTTCCGTGGCCGCCTTACCGGCGGGGACAGGAGACGGGGCAGAGGGATGTAGTTCCACGGGCGCCTTACCGGCGGGGACTGGGAGGAAAGCTACGGGATGCAGTTCCGCGGGCGCCTTACCGGCGGGGACAGGGAAGGGGTCAGAGGGATGTAGTTCCACGGGCACCTTACCGGCGGGGACTGGGAGGAGAGCGGGAACTGGGAGGAGAGCGACGGGATGCAGTTCCGCGGGCGCCTTAGCGGCGGGGACAGGGAAGGGGGCGGCGGGATGCAGTTCCGCGGGCGCTTGCTTACCGGCGGTGGCCGAGCGCAGGCTCTCGAGGCTCCAGGAGCGGGGCAGGGCGCCGCGCATGCCCCCGCCGCACACCACGCCGCTGCTGTCGGAGTCGGAGCCGGGTGACAGCCCGACGCTGCTGCCGCCGCCGCTGCTGCTGCTGCTGGTGCCGAGGTCGCCGCTCGCGCGGCCGCTGGACTCGCTGGGGCAGTGGCGGGCCCCGGTGCAGGCGGGCCGCAGCTCCAGCCAGAGGCTCGGGGGCGGGCCGGGGGCGGCGGGGCTGCCGGGCGAGGGGGCGCGCGCGCCGGGGCCGGGGCCGGGGCCGGGACAGCGGTCGGCGGGCTCGGGGCGGGCGGGCAGCGGCGCGGCTCCCTCGGCCCCGTCCCCGCCGCCGCGCGGCCGCTCCCGGCCGGCTGACATCACGGGGCTCCGCCAAGGAGGCTCCCGGCCGCGCCGGCGACCCTCTGCGGCTGGGCACGCGCGGCCGGGCCGACCCCGGGCACCTCCAAGGGCCGCAGCCCCGGTCGTGCCGGGCGCCGACACGGCGCGGTGGCGGGTCCCGCTCACGCGCTCACGCACGCGCGCACGCAGGCCAGGGCGGCGGCGGCGGCGGCGGTGGCGGGCGGGGGCCGGGGCCGGGGCCGGGGCCGGCTGGGCGCGTCCGGCAGCCGAACGCCGGCACCTGCGAGCGCCCCCGACCCCCCGGGACGCTCGAGGCGTCCCCCGCGCCCCCCAGGTCCGTCGAAACGTGCACGCGGCACGCGCGCCCTCCTGGATCCTGGTCCGTGACCGGGGCGTGTCCGCGCCGGGTGCGGGGGGGCGCGGGGCGGGAGGACCCCCCCGGGCGGGCGGCTGCGCACGCTGGACCCGCACTGGCCCGGCCCGGGCTCGTCCCGCGTCCAGGAGCGCAAACGAGCCAAAGGAGCCCCGCGCACCTGCGACCCTCCGCGGTCGCCCTGCCCCCGCGCGCGCGGCACGACGGTCACAGCAGGAGACTTTAGAAAGTGCCCGGAAAAGTCCACGCACAGGCACAGATGAAACCCGGACCGACGAAGCACACGTCTTAGATGCGGGGACTCCAGGGGCTCTGGTTTGGGTGGGAGGGAGAAGGGAGTCTGAGCGCCCAGTAGGTCCTTGAGTGCCTGTAGGGTGACGCTTAGGGACTCCCATTGTGCTAACAGCTGACAGGAGACAGAATCAAGAACTTTTGGGAGCGGGATGCTACACTCGGTGGTGATCAGGGTTTACTCCTGCTCTACACTCAGGAATCATTCCTGGCAATGCTCCAACCCTCGTTTCGAAACCAATTTTTGTTTTGTTTTGTTTTGTTTTGGGGCCATACCCGGCAATTCTCAGGGGTTACTCCTGGCTCTACACTCAGGCATCACTCCTGGCGGTGCTCAGGGGACCATATGGCCATACGGGATGCTGGGGCACGAAGCCCGTAGGCCATGAGCAAGGGAAGCGCCTTATCTAGATAGCTGTGCTATCTCTACAGCCCCCCTCAGCACTTGTTATATGAAAGACCATATCTCAGGGGCTGGAGGGGTAGTACAGTGGGCAGTGCACTTGCCTTGCATGCAGCTGACCTGGTACCCATCCCTGGCACCTCATATGGTCTACTGAGGCTGCCAGGAGTAATCCCCTGAGTACTACTGCAGGGTGTCTCCACCAAACCAAAATGGTCTTAGCGTGAACTCTGCCAAGAGACAGAGCTTCACCTTGAAGGGGCAGATGAGGGGATAGAATGCCAACACTCCTCCCCTCCATGTTCTTCCCCCCCACCCCCTACTGTCATGCCTGCAAACCCCAGGAAACGGGTGCTAGTATAAGTAGAAATATTAAACTAGTGGAGATGAAATTAGAGATGCTTGTTAAGGGACCACACAACAGTGGTGATAAAGTGGACACTGGGAAAGTGGCCATTCTTCTCTATGCTTTTCCTTCAGGATGTCTCTCCCCTAAATCCTACACGTGCCCAGCTGTGGATGACATAGGTACTGCATCTTTGTAATATTCTTGCTTGGGACTGTCTGTTTCCTTCTCTTTGAGTATACCAATACTAGCAAGTATTATTGCACAGGCATTACTATACCCAGTTATTTATTATTTATTTTGGTTTGGGGGCCATACCTGGTGGTGCTCAGGGAGCCATATGCTGTGCCTGGGATCAAAACAGGTAACGGTGTGCAAGGCAAGTGCCTTAACTGCTGGACTCTCTCTCCGGCCCCTATACTCAGTTATTATTTATATTGATATAATATTTCTGGCATCAACACACCAGGAGACTGGGGACAATGTCAGGCAAGTGTCTATGGGCTGCACATGGGTCTGTAGAAGCCTGTATCAAGTTCTGCATTAAAAACCACAACACCCAAAAGGAGAGAGAGAGCAAAAGGGAATGCCCTGCCACAGAGGCAGGGTGGGGTGGGGTGGGGGGAACGGGGTGGGGGTGGTGGGAGGGATACTGGGATTATTGGTGGTAGAGAATAGGCACTGGTGGAGGGATGGGTACTCGATCATTGTATGACTGAAACGCAAGCACAAAAGTTTGTAAGTCTTTAACTGTACCTCACGGGGATCCATTAATTAAAAAAAATTTTTTTTAAAAGAAAAAAGTTCTGCATAAGCCTCAGGCACTGCGGTGTTGCTCTGTGATGAGGTGTAATTTGGCTGTATCTGCTCCTTGAAGGTCTCTCCCTCTGTTTGCTTTACAAATCTCGGGATCTGAGTCTTTCTGTGTCACTTCACATCTGCCACATGCTCTTCCCACCCTGGCCTCTGTGCTTCCCCCTGCTTGGGACGTGCTGGTCCCTCTTTCCTTGTGTCTGGGTGCTGACTCTATTTGTGCTGCATGTCTGCTCTGATGACGGCTGCAAGCTAAGTCCTGGAAGGCTAAAACTGTTCAGCTATTGCCCGCAGGAGCCAGAGCTCCAGAGACACCTCTCCCCGATTAGCGGCCTGGGGTGCATGTCTTACAGGCACAAGACTTGATTTCAGATGAACCCCCAAATAGGCGTAGTTCCAGAGGCCCCAAGTTATGCTGGGCTTCAGCAGCACCACTTACCTGAACCTGAGCACCAAACTGTCAAGCCCAGTTCGCTGAACATTGTCAGGAATAACCCTGGGGTCCCCTGAACATTGCTGGCGAGGACCCATCTCAAATGAGACACCTCTTTTAATCCATCAGCAAGTTCTTTGAGTTCTGCTTCCCAAAAAAGCATCAAAGTTGTCCATGTCTGGTGCTGGAGCGATAGCACAACGGGTAGGGTGTTTGCCTTGCAGGTGGCCAACCCGGGTCCGATTCCCAGCATCACATATGGTCCCCTGAGCACTGCCAGGAGTAATTCCTGAGTGCAGACCCAGGAGGAACCCCTGTACATCGCCAGGTATGACCCAAAAAAGAAAACAAAAAGTTCTCCATGTCTTCCTCTTCTTGGCCTGGTGCCCTGAACTTGGAAGACAGCTTCACCCTTTTGTGACCACACGGCTGAGACTGCTCTGACTCCTGGGTCACTCACATCTCAGCGTCCCTCTTCTTCCTTACTCTCTTCACTCTCACTTCTGTGACTTTCTTGCTGTTTCTCCTTCCCCTGGAACCCTTGTACTTGCTGTTCCTTGCACCTAAAATGTTTTTTTTTCCCCTCTCCTGGCTCTTAATATCAAGAGTCCATTAACTGTCACCTCTTTGGTGAGAATCCATTTATTCCTTCCCAGCACATATTGCCATCTAACAGCAGTTTGGTGATGTTACCAGCCCCTGCCAATACATCAAGGGCAGCACTAAAACAGCAGCTTCTTCGCACTGCTGTCTCCCTTGCTCTCCAGCCATCTAGCGTCTGCAGAGGGCCTGCGACAGGCCCACAGTTTGGACAGTGTCTGTGAAGAAAGAGCTGTGGCCCTGGTGCCACCCTGAGACCAGCTGAGCAGGAAGGGAGCATTTTTGCTCTTGGGTTCAGGACTTTGCTGTGCGACCCTGACCCTCCGTGCACAATATAACTTGGAGAAGCGCCTGAATTAGTGGTTCAATCCTGGATTAGCCACTGTGCCAGCCACGGCCGAGGGCCAGTCTTGTTCTAAGCCCATTTCTCCTTGGATTCTCCTCAAGCCTTCAGTCAAGTTTGTTTTGTTTTTTTTTTTTTTTTAAAGAACTGTTCTAGTCTGCACTGTACTGAAGGGCCAAGTAGAGTATCTTTATTTGAGTTCCGGTATAAGAAAGGAATCCTTATTTCATCTTTCTATGGAGATGGCAGCTACAATGAAATACTTAGTTCCTAAAGTCCAGGAAACCTTGTGAAGGTCACAGACTTTCCAGATTGATAAGATTGAAAAAGAAAACTGCTTCTCTTACCATAGCACAGTCAGTTTGAGGTTGTCAGGAATTCATTCTACTCCTGTGTATCTGTCTGAATTAACATTGATGCAATGTCTTTATCAGAAGAGTGGGCACAGAAGTGGGTCAATGTTTCCCGAGGCTGGCTCAGCGGGGTGAAAGCAAGAATGGAATCCAGCGCATAGAAATAGACACAGAATAAGATTGAAACTTGCAGTGCTTGGGGGACCTAAGCCTCATGATCACATGATCACAGTCTCTTCTAACCCTACACTTCAGTTCTTACAAGACTGAGAGCTAGTGGTGAAAAATTCTAGTTTTGTCTTTTACTATACTTGCAACTTGGAATGTCTTTCTTTCCCTTGCCATAAAATAATGATACTAACATCTATTTTTTGCAGCATTATTATGAGGAATAAATGAAATGTTATGTATGTGTGTGACAGTGCCTAGCCATGTGTGAAATATTAGTTGTCATTACGTTATTTATTAGGTGTTAAGTACCCAAATATGTTTTTAACTTCCACAATAGCTTTAGCTATCAGGAACTTCTAGTTTCAGCACCTTTTAATTTTCATTTGAAGATCTTGACTTCAGATCAGCCCATGTCAGGAAATTAGGACCTGAAAACTGGTTGAATTGGTGCTAATGCTACCATGGTTTAAACTACCATGAAACTATTTATTCCTTTCCTCCTTAATTTGAGAATTCTTTTTTTTTTCTTTTTGGGTCACACCCAGCAATGCTCAGGGGTTACTCCTGGCTCTGCACTCAGGAATTACTCCTGGCAGTGCTTGGGGGACCAAATGGGATGTCAGGGATTGAAGCTGGGTCAGCCGTGTGCAAGACAAAAGCCCTACCTGCTATGCTATCACTCCAGCCCCAATTTGGGGATTCTTGAGGAATCTCTAGAGTTTCTAGAATAGGCGTAGTATCATGGGTGGCATTGTGAGTCCACCTCAGGCAGCAT